CCGACCGATCGAGCGTTGTAACGATGTAAAACCCCGTCCGTTCGATAATTATCGGCGCTGCAACTGGCTGCAACAAGGTCTTTTATCCGATCCGTGATATATATACACTACCTGTGGTGTTGTCGGCGCAAAAAACACGGGTCGGGAAAATCGTCGTCCGCGAATCATAACGTACACACAACAAACCGCGATTTGTTTGCTCGACGATGTACAAAACCGCTATTTTTCGTTGACTGTTTTTTTTTTTTTTTCTTTTTTTTTTGTATACCAATAACCTTCCATTAAACTCTAATCGCTCGATCGTAATTGCCGGTTCGCGATCGCGCCCGATTAAAATTGAATCGGCCGAAAATTTCTATACACGTCTCATTTCCGTTTCGTTTTCGATGTGATCGATTTGTTTCCCGCGTTTATCAGAGGCGTTTGCCGAACGAAATCGCGCCGATTGACGAGCGAGCGATTTATCGTTTACACATCCCCGTCGTTTGTGAATAGACGATTGTGGCGGAAAATCGCGGCGCTTAATCGAACAGAGAGCGAACACGCGCGAACACGTATCCCGGCGATCGTCGCGTTCACGTAAGGGGTTTTGATCCTGGATTCAAGCGATTCATCCCCGACGCGCGGAGGATTTCGTCCCATTCGCACGGAAAACCCAATTGCGCTGCTCTATGCGTCATTAGCGCTGGAAACGGAGTTAATGCCGTTAAATCCGGGTCGGGTCCGGCCGCGATATTATTCGCACTTGTGCCGGGCCGCTCTCTCGTTGGTCGCACAGGTGCGAAATGACGACCGCACATGCGAAATGCGAATGAATGATCATTCTCGCTCCGTACTAACTCGATTTTCTTCCCGACGACGAGGGAACTGTGTGTTTACACTTTTTTTTTTTTGCCTTTCCCCGACCTTCTCTCCGTTTCGCCGCTCAGCTCTTTCGTCAACTCTCTTTCTCTCTCTCTTTTCGCGAATCGTGTTCACATGAATATTAAAATTTAATAGTCGTTAGAAAATTATCATAGAGCAAACCCTCCTTTCTCCCTCTCTGTAAACTTTTATCACTGTTTATTCGGATTCGACGATGCGAAATCGGTCATGTCATGTCTGTTTTTTTCTTTTTTTTTTTTTTTTGGGGAGGAGGGAAAGGGAAAGCGATTCATTTTTCTGCCACGCGCGTGTCATACGCGCGTGTCATACGCGCGCTTTATGTTCGCCGGTTCTCTCGAAGCCTCACAACTGATTTTTATCTCCGTCGATGAATTTGTAACGAATGTAAAAATAAAATGTGTCGAATTTTTGTTCTGTTTTGTTTTTTTGTTTTTTGTTTTTATTTCATAAGCGCTGATTGGAAAGTCGACGATTATCATGTTCGGAATCGCGTTTTTTTTTTTCACGTGAATATCTAATAAACGGTGTGTTATTTGTTCTTGAATTTTTTATCGACGAGAAATTGTATTCCCTCTTGCGCCGGGGAGCATCGCATCCTACAATCGCCGCCGCGCTTTACCATTGTTTTTTCGTGCGCACCCGAAGCTCATTCGGCAAACATTTCCACTTTACGCTCTACGTGAGGTAAAAACTGGGTCGTTCTTAAAATGCAAAATATTTCGCTGGCGGATATTTCAATGTTTACTTTATTGTTTTATGTATGTTTTGATATTTTCTTGTGCGCGCGTGAGTAGCACTTTTTTAACGAATATCTGAAAAATTAATCGCAGAACACGAGCCGCTAAACACAGACCATTTTAAACGCGAAAAAAAAACAACACGCCGCGCCGCTTACTGTTAAAATGTTTTTTGTTTGTGTACAATCCTCTCGCGCGGATTTAATCAAGTTCGATCAAATAATTCGCGGGGCGAAATATTACACACGCGTGTGTACCGCGCGCGCGCGCTGCGAACGCGTTGTTTATGCGTTCGCGAATTAGATCCGCGGCGTTTACTCGCTACATTAACAAATTGCTTTCTCCTTAATTGAAAGATTATATCAGATCATAGTGCGCGGATACAAAGAACAGTTCGCCGAAGTAAATACAAATGCCGTGTACGAAGTAATACCCCCACTGTTTGTTTAGTGTTTGAGTTGTGCGTTTACAATTAATTAATTTGTCCGTTGCATGTTCCGTAATTAGCGTAAGTGTTCGGGACCGGATCCAAAATGCGCCGACATTTGTGTGTATATGTGTGTGTGTGTATTTAGATGATGTTAAATTCGAAATAATGCAACTCACGCAACAATATAGTAATTCCTCTACGTGATTAGTCCGTGTGTGTTGCACGGGCGATGAGCAACTGAGGAAGAGAGAGAGGGAGCGGCACGTTTGAGACTTTCGAGTTACACACAACTTTCCATCAAGTTATTTACTTCAAATTGTGTTTTATTTCGCATTTTCTGTGCGCGGCTATACAAATTATAATTGTCCGCGTAAAATGTACAAAGTTATTGTTACAATTTCGTACGTATTTGCTCAAGTTTGAACAAAGGATATTCTGTTTTACGTCTTTAACATCGTAACTTTTCCCAGACATCGGCAAACTAAGTTGTTACTTTTCCGCTTTCTCTCTCTCTCTCTTTCTCTCTCTGTTCTCTCTCTTTTGCTAATTTTACTCATCAACTTATTAATTAGAACATAACCCGCGCGCGCGCGCGCGCGGAACTAGTTCAAATAACTCAAACACAGCAGATAAATTTATACTCTCGAGAAGCGAATTAAGTATTTTGCAAATGCTGCACCAACCGATAACAATGTGACTCCGATAATATCCTTCAAACAGAGAAACCTCATATAGCTCGAGCTTGCGAGCGTAAAACAAATATTGACTCGGGAGAAATATTGTACTTTGTACAAAATTACATTTCTCTATTATCGCGTGTCCTCTGAAATTATATTGTAAAATAATTATTATAGGATTTTGTCGCACATTGAATGCGATGAATATTCCATCTTTTTTTTTTTCCTTTTATTTATTCAATCAAAATTTTGTCGGAAAACTTGAAGAATTGAAATTTGTAGACGCGTAATGAAAAGCACAATGAGACGCGCATTTATTGTCACAGCACTTTAGCCGTGCGCGATGCAATAGTGACAAATCCAGCTGACTCGCCGAGACGTTTCGCGATTGAACGGAACGAGCCTCTCGTTGAATGCGAGAAACTATCGTTTCGCGTTCCAATAGCAGCCGCGCGCGCGCGCCGTCTTTCTTCAAGGCAATGACGAGAGGAGAGACACGATGAGGCTTTAAGTAATATCGATATCGATGTGAAAAGGCGAGCATCGGAAGAAAAGCGGCGCGGGGGAGGAGAAGCCTCGAGCGAGTGTCGTCTTCGTCGTCGCGAATACGCTTGTCGATATTGAATTGAAAATGAATCGCGCGCGCACGGGGAAAAGGAAGCGACTGTGAACGAGGAGAGAAGAAAACTCCGGAAGACTCCGACGGGTGTATATAACCGCGATCTGTACATAAACATTCCTCCTGTCCTTCGCTTTTCATCCCCTTCGCTTATCCGCCCGCTTATAAATTACGAGCTCGAGAATGCGAGTTATCGCGAAAACCTTTCGCTTCTGCGACGATTATGCGACGTTTTATTAATGTTTTTCCTTATCTCTTTCTCTCTCGATGTTTTTCTCTTTTCTCGAATTCGTTTCTCTCTGCATCCGCCTCGGTTTCCTCCGCGTCAGCGTAGACAGCGCGCGTCATTCTTTGCATATTTACTTTCACCCCCTCTCTCGTCTCGCGATCGTAAAACCCGCTTTGGGGAACGCGGTGTGTAATGCTTTTTATTATTTCCTCGATAAACGCACCACTTGACTGTCGCGGATGCGACTTCGCCGACCGAACCGCGCGGGTCTTTGGGGATGTTTTTTTTTTGTTTTTGTTTTTGTTTTTCTTTTATACAATCGAGATGCGCGCGCGAGGAGATCTATATACAATAAAATATATATTTCGAAAAATACGGGATTATTAATTTTATAAACACTCAAAGGGGAAAGAAACTCGAGCTGGATATCTTCCACTCGAGACACGCTTTTCCTCCCCGGTTTACTTTTCTTTCCGAACGAAGCTTGAATATAAATTATTGCGACGCGCAATACACACAGCCGGGATGATAAAAATTGCTGTATGCAAATACGATTATTATAAAGCGAGCAAATTTCTGAAACGGCATATTCGAGGAAAACAAACAAAAAATAAAACTTACCTTCGTCGCTTATAGAGCCACTTGGCCGCGAAGGACGGGCGCGTAATTAAAACGAAATTCTCGCATGTATGTTAAAACTTTTCGCGAACACAACCTGTTCTCGAGTTTTACGGTTTCTCCCGCTGAATTTCGCCATCTGTCCCGAGTGTTGTGTTTGCGCGAGTTTCAGATATTCCATTACGACTTGCGCGCTACTCTCTCCGAGGTAAATATAAAAATACTTTCCGTTCCTTTCTTCCCCTTCCCCGTGTGCTTTCGTGTTTTTACCTCTTCGCGTAGAAATCAAGAAAGAATCTCGGCGTGGAACTCCGAGAGAGATAGAGAGGAAGAGACAACTCTCCGCGAAAATCGGACAACGGTCTATCTGCTCTTATCTCGAACGCTTTGCTTAACAATACGCTAAATCTCTCTCAAACTGCTTGTGAAAGCAGTTGCGCACACGGATCTTGCGCTACGATAAGTAGTAAAAACCTATCTCGTGTCAGACAGCAATTTATCACAAAAATGCCGCCTGGCGTTTCAAGCGCTCGACGAACTCGAATTGGAACACCAGTTTTAAGTAGTACAACTGCACCGTCAGACATTGAAAAATGTCTGATTGTGAATAAAAGTAGATATACAAACAATATCTGCTTGTTTTTCACGTGTTCGCGAGAGTGTGATCTTACACGTGTCTCATATATTTAATAAAGATTTGGCGTCATATATTATCGAATGTTTACATTACCTGTTGAACTTCCGTGTCAACACATCGCGCGATTCAACTTCTAACCGGCAATATCTGCTTTTTTGTTTGTCTCAGGCATTTCTGGAGATGGCGGACGAGAACGCAGCGGCGACGATGGTGACTTACTACGCTTCCGGCCTGGCGCAGCTCAGGGGAAGAGCGGTCTACGTGCAATTCAGCAATCACCGTGAACTCAAGACGGATCAAACGCACTCCAACAACGCGGTCAGTAGCCCAACAAATGATGTCGCCAACACTTCTGAGGTCTGTGTCATACTTCTTGCTTCACTTCTTTCTCGCTTCACTAACAGGCCGGTCGTCGCTTGCATGAAAAACCGCTCTCTATTTAAGCGCTTCTCATACGCTCGCCGCGTGTGAACTAAACTTTTCAATCCCTCTCTTTAACACGACGCTCCGCGACGTCTCTTCTTCTTCATCATCGTTTCGGGAGCGAGAGCGATGTTAAAAATTAACGAGCGAATAGACACGCACGCGGTTTTTTTTTTGTTCATGACGATGAAAGTAGTAGTTTTAATCTGATTAAATTTATCTGTGATCGAAAAGTGAATTATTAAATGCAACTCAAAAAAGTTTTGTTTTATTTAATAATTCATTTTTCAATTCTTCGTGGAACACACATATAATACTGAACTTTCAACATCGCTGGAATTTGTCGGTGACGTGCAGTTATTTAAAAAATTTCCTCGTCACGGTCGTTTTTTACTTTGTCGTCGCTACGTTTTTGTTACATATATATAAATATATATATATGTTTTTGAAAAATTGCAAAAGAGTTAGATTTTTGCGCACCAAGTGTTTGCGCGATATATTTTGCAATGTGTGTGAGACTGCAAAACGCGAGCGAAGCATTTCGCTCGGGAACGTGGACGAGATGTCGAAAAATCAAACTATGTGTTTGTTGCCGATATTTATCTTAAATTTAGTTCCATTTTTTACGTCACTCTCGTATTTTTCTTTTTGTTTGTTTTGAACTGCGTGAAACGCGACAAATCACTGTCATTACAAACAATCAAACGGACGTCTTTGTTCAAGCGCGCAAATGTCGCCTGGATATTCACGTCTCCTTTTGAGAAGACGGTGTGTGCTTGTCGCAATACGTTCCGCGGTGATTTCGATGCCTCGAGGCACCGGAAGGATGGCCAGCGTGAGACTCTCGCGTCGGATACACAATGGACCTAAACCGCGCTGTTTCCAGATATTGCGCCGTCGTCGTCGTCGTCGTCGTCGTCGGTGAACCGGTGTGTTATTTATGCGAAGTAGTTAATTAAGCCGATATCGCGTGGCCCCCATATCCTTGCTCATCGAGGAAACATTCAACGCACAGCGCGACGACCATGAGAGAGAGAGAGAGAGAGGGAGGGAGACGACGCCGCCATTTCGCCGTCAAGTCAATCTAAACACTCGCGTCCGCAAACTCCGTTATAATTAATGCGTCCATAATTTATGAACGATCCCTCGAGCAAGCGAGCGAGCGAGCGAGCATCGCATCCCCGTCGCGTACATACACACATACCGTCGTCACATCTACCACCGTCATAACTCCTCCTTCCTTGTTCGCATACTCCCGCGTGACAACACTGTGTCTGTCACGCGTACTACTTGCAACTCGCGAATGTCATCGTGCGCCGGCGGGTCATCATCGGGACCTAGTTAACTCGCGCCGCGCGCAATTCGACCCTTCCTCCCCTTCCCCGCGTTTCGAAATGAAATTTTGTCAGCGAATTAATTAGCGTTGCCAATTCGCGAATCAATTAACGAAATTTGGTCATTATATGCGCGAGCGTTATCGTCCGTCAATTTACGCTTCCTCTGTGTTATTACATTTGTCCTGTGGACAATCGCGATGCGCTTTTTAAATGCTTCTTCATAGCTTTCGCGAAGTAAACGCGATGGTGAACGTTCGATTTCGAGTCACGTGCTCTCGGCGAATCCGCGAGTATCGTCGTCTCGTCGCCACGTCGTCTCTCAATTTCGTCGCGATCGACGAGCGCGGGACGGAATCGAGAAGCGAAGGTCGGAGGCGGGTGGCGGGTTATCGGTTAACCGGCCCCGCCAATTCGCGTCGACGACGTCGTAACTTTGTAAGTTTCGACGATGCCACGTCGTGTCGCGATCCATTCCTCCCCGGAGTTGGCGAACTGTCCTCGTCTTCCGGACGGCAACTTTGAGGTGGAAACGGACACCGATCCCACGGGGAATCCTTCCACGGGGGTGGAAAGTTTCGCGTGTATCGAGAAGGATGGAAGAGACGTGGGAGAAGAGATGGTTCGCGCGTCGTGAAAAATAATAAATAAAGGGAGTAAATAGCGCGACAACGCGCGTCGCCGATGCTTTTTCCCGACACACGCGGAAGAAAGTTTGCGGCCGCGCGCACGTAAACCCCGCGAAAAACTTTGCAATCCAACGGGAGGCTTACCACAAGCTCGCAAAGTCATGACGACGACGTTCCTTACACGTTTCGCCCCGCGAGAGGAAATTCACAAACCCGCGCGTGCGCACGCAAATCTCACATTATTCAGCAAATGTGTGTCGTGTGATGTCATTAGTGTTAAATCGGCAGCGATTCTGTGAACCTTGTGTGTGAAAAGCGGAAAGAATTTAAAGTAAATTTTCTTCTCTTCTCGCGCGTGCGCGCGGTTTACCGCGCACAATCCTTTATTACAACGGGTAGAATTCTATTTCCGGAAAAAAAAAAAGATTTAAAGTCGTTTTCTAACTTCCTTCGTGAAAATTTACGTCCACTCTTAAGATATTCAACGTTTTAACGTCTCGTTTTGTAAAGATAAATTTTACTTGAGATAATATTTAACTTTTAACGCGTTTACGAAAACTAAAATTGTAATAATTTTTTTTTTAATTGTATAATTTTCGATCATTGACAAGCAAAGTTTCGCGCGTCTGTTTCTGTCTCAATGGTTAGTTCGAAAAATAGAAGCTTTTTTTTCCAATAATAATTCTGTATAAGTTGAAACTTTTCTCTTGTTGCAAAAAGCAGACATTTCCTAAAAAAAATAAATGCTCTTCGTTTAAGTAGTTTTATGAAGCTATTTTTTTGTTTTATTATTTGATTATTCTTGCTTTACTCCATTTGTCCGACGTGTGTCTGTTATCTCTGACTTTAGATATCCACTAATAGTATACAAGTAGGGTAATGTGCTAGAAAGAAAAATATATAAAACGCTAACGCGATATCTCTCCGTATATAAAAATGACAGTAAAATTACTCTCGCGTATAAAACGCGCGCTATTTCCGACGGGGAAATGCAAAGACGACGGTGGTTGGAGAATTTTGGTTTCTCAGGCGCGAGTTTGCGCTCCCTCTTCACGGTCGAATGATTTCTCACCGAACGTCCGGACTGACAAACGACGCCGAAAAAGCAATCGCCGTGAAAGCCTCGGCGCGATGCACCGGGTGTGCCGACCTGTGTCTCTTTCTCTCTCTCTCTCTCTCTCTCCCTATGTGGGCGACGATGAGACGCCGGAAATTTCGTGGCCTGAAACGCAAGACAAACCTGGCTTCCCGTCTTTCTAACCGATGCACTTCTCTCCCGAGTTCGTCGGGAGAGAAAGAAATCCATCAATTTTACATGAACGGAGAAGCACATTCGTGACGACAACTGTCACCAAATGTCCCGCCACAAATCTCTTCTGTTTATTATATCTACTTTTTCTTTTCAATTTTTTATAGTTTATATTAAAAAATAGCGTTGTTTTAATTTGTTTATTGATTGCGTGCGAACGCGAGAAATATATATTCGCGTTACCGGACATTTGTTTTTCCATATTTCTCCAATTTCAAGATACAACAAAATACGAACGAAACCGGTCGGAAAAGCGAGAAACGGTTACGAGGAATGCGGCTCACTCGCTCTCAAAAAAGAGAGCGAGCGAGAGAGAGAGGAAGGAAGGGATGTATTTATATCACGCAGTTAATGCTGCGACCCCGTCTCTGGGGATGATGTGTCGGCTAAGTAAAAGCCCGACCGGCGCGGCGGACCCGTTTAATAAAGACGCTGCGCGCCGCAGCGCCTCGGCATTGTTTAGTAATTAATTTAGAGCCGAGCTTATAACGCGCCGGAACGCGCGGTAGCCGCGCTCTTTGGAGGGCGGGAAGGACGGCCGGGATAAAAATAGATCTTTCGAATGGCGCATAAGTGATAAACGCGCGCGTGTGTACGTGTGTGTGTGTGTGTGTGTGTGTTTTATCAAATAACGCCCAGTGTTTCCCCGCTGTGTGTTTTCGAAATAACTAGATTATTATCGGAGGAGAGATTAATTAAGGTCAAATTATAAAATCTCACTAAAGTAAAACGACGCGAGCAATTAGGCGCTTTTAATTACGCGTTTCGCCGCGCCCGTGCGAAATTATGGCGAAATTGAAATAATATATTGATACATGCGCGGATGCATAATGAAGATACTGAAATTACATCGAGATTGAAAATATACACTCGTGTGTACGTTTTGTGTGTAATAACGAGTATTGCGAAAGTTGAACTCGTTTTTATATTGATTACATGAAAACTCGCGGTTTTTTTTTCAAGTGTAGCTTTGCTCTCTTCGTGCTCCCAGCGATGCGCACTTTTTTTTTTCGAGTTCCTTGTCGTCGCAATCTGAAAACCCGTCCGCGAAATGACAAAGTATTTTCACGCGGAGTTATTTTCTCCGCAGAGTTCCGTGTTATCTGGTAATTTGGATTAATTTAGATATTCGCGGTCTCTCGTGTCGCCGCTTTTATATTACCGTTTTTTTTTTTTTTTTTGCTTTTTTTTTTAATTCTTGTTCAAATGATTTCGCCGCCTTTTTTTGCACCTGGTCGGGGGATTTAAATTTCGACGCGCGTGCAAACATCTTGGCACATGCGCGCCAGAGTGAAATTTTCGCGGTGACACGTATGTTTGCAATAAACGCGCGAAGTACGGGACAAACACGCGAATTCAATGAAAATAGGCAATCTTGTCAAACGAGATAATAATTTTGGTGATATCGTCGGATGTTTTTCGCTCGTCGTTGCGCACAGTTTTTTACGCATATTGTTTATTACATTTATTTAATGGTGTGCAGGTAAGTCGATATTGTTAGTTGAATATACGATACACACATACAGAATTGAATCTGGGAATTTATGAAGCCTCGAGGCAAAAAGTGTGCACGGATTTGCAACAGGCTTCACACACAGACACACACATACAACGTACACTCATATTTTACATTGTAATTCTATACCGCGGCGTTAATTGTAT